CTTAGCGGCCGCCTCTTCTTCGGCGATCTTCTTCTGTTTCTCGATATCTTTCTTTCCCAACACTTTCTTCACTGACGAGGAAGTGGTCAGAGAAAAGGCTTTCATTTTTCCCATTTGTGACTATTGTGGAGACAATTGGAGGGTTAGTGGAGGTCTGGGTGGTTGTGGTGAGAGTGGTATGTGTGGTGTGTACAGCTTACCATTGTTGGTGTCTGTGGTGATCAACTGATCCGTGAAATCATGGCTGAAGTGGTGGTAAATATCTTATGAACTCATTGTTGACATGCAATGCATTGAATGCAGTGTTGCATTGAGGGGTCGTATAGTCATTACGAGTGATATGTCTGTCAGTGAGAAGTTTATTGAAAAACTTTTTTTGTGTGCAAATTAATTTATTTGATTATATCCTGGTAATTTAATTTAATTATTTTTTATTTAATAATTAGTATGACATTAAACATAACATTAAATAGTTGAAAATATAAGCATATGATACTGTATAGCTATTGTATGTGAAAATGTTGAGTTTGTAAAACTTTTGTCACAAAAAGTTTGTTCATTATCTCAAAATGTATTAATTGTTTGAAACTTATGTTAAAACGTTTTAATAATCTGTGGAATAGCCGTCGAAATCACTGAAATCAGTGTCATTCCCGTCAGTGGACTCATTGAGTGTTAAATTCAAAACATTTAAGTTTCGGTAACTTTCTAACCATCGCCTCAATGGCCGGTGTTTTCACTAATTTGCTTCAAATCCTCGGAGTCTGATATTGCGGTCATACCATACCATTGAGTGTCTGATAACGTGACTGGTCTTCAATATATCGACGGTATATTCAATTCAAACGTTACTAAAATAGTATGGCTAGTGTTTAATTAGGATTATTATTATTGGAAATTAATTTCCAATAATAAAATCCTAATTAAACACTAGCCATATTACATGTATATTAGTAACGTTTTAATATACCGTCAATATATTAATGGCCAGTCACGTTACCAAACATAGGATGGTATGTATGCCGCAGACTCTGAATGTGTGGTAAATGTGTGTGAATTGAGTGAAAGAATGTCTCATTCAATACACAATTGACTAAATATAACTCGAAATGTGTTAATCGTTTCAATGGAGACAATGATTTGGGCGACAATTCAATGGCTAATATGTCGCTCAAGTAAGAGACATGAATTTTACTCAGTATTAACTTTACTCGTCGTAAGCCTTTCATACGACCCACCGATTCATACAATCTTTCCAATTGTGCACTACTTTCACAACTCATACGCAACTGATATCTCTTGAGTTGTGGCCATTGATTGACAAACTCTGTGCAGTGATAGTCAACGATAGACTCAACAGTATCCTCTTGAACGCGATTAAATCCAAGACTAAGTTCACGCAATGCTCTCAATTGTGGTATGAGTTTGAGTACACGAACGCATTCATCGGTCTTAGTGTAAACCTTAGCAAGTTTTAAACACTTTAAGCGATTCTAATAGTAATCAACAAATGCTGGCAATCGTTGCCATCTATAATCCCTGTTATAAAAGTCAATTTCTGTCAAATTCTTCACTAATATCTCATTGCTTTCGGTCACAATCACTGACAACAACATACTCAACAGGTTTGTAGCGAACAGTTGTGTGAGTTTTGTCAACGACTTTGCGTCAGATCTCAACACTTCATAACCCGATGGTTGCACTGATATTGCGGTCAATTATGGGCTATATTTGCCGAGAATAGTGTCCATTATTTGGACATCAATTTCATAGTCAAATCTGACATGAATTGCAATCAATGAGTGTTTGTATGAATCCATTAGTATTTCAAACACTCTTTGTGTCTCTTCTGAATACATCTGAATATCAATGGATGTAATGTTTGCACACTTTGTGACCACCGATTCCAATGCAATCAAATCGATAGCTTTGAAGACTTTCTCTGCATATATCTCTCTATAATCCATGGATTTGTTAACAACAATAAGACTGTGTTGTCGTTTGAATACCAATCGCTGCCACTGTTTGGACAGACATTCAAATCGGAAACAGTCTTCGAGTGACAAATAAGACAATAGGAGTCCACACAAGTCATCGCCATATCTATCAAAAGAGTCTCGAATATTCCTCTTGAGTCTCATTCTTCGGCATACTTGGGATCTGTTTATTAATACCTTGATGAAATACTATTATTAATGATATACTGTATAACTTAAAAATTTACTGCAATTATAAATATTAGGTTTTCCAAAAAGTTTTGCCAGGTATAATTTATTCAGCAATTGATAGAGATATTGAGAATATTTTTGAACCTCAACTATGGTTTTTGCTCTCATTTATTCACCCGAAGAGATTACTGGATTAGAGCACCGGTAGTTTGGGACAGGTAGCTTTTATGTACAGCAAAAACTATAAGTCCTAGAAAGACAATCAGCACAACGTTAGAAAGAGTATAAAAAACGATTGAACCCGTCTTTCGGGATTTCTCTTGTAAATGCTTCAATTAGGGACAGGGAGGCCCGGGAGGTCATGATTTTGTAAAAATTATTTTAAATTGAAAATCTGATTAGGCCATCGAAAACTACTCAAAATATGAATAACATTCGAATCTGAAATTTTAAAAATATCTCAACAAATACGTTACCTAGATAACTTTGAAAATTTGTGATAATTTTGATGAATCTGTAAACCAAGGATTTTGATTTGCCCTAGATTAGTTATTTCTCAAGATATCTTAAAGGTTTAAAATGCTAAATTTATCTCCTTCTGAAGCACATTTTGATTGTCTAATCGGATTTAATCTTATTCTTTGTTATCTTTATTTTATTCAATATTTTTAAATATTGGGCCTCCTTGTTCCAAATTGATGCATTTACTAGAGAAATCCCGATAGATGGGTTCGATCATTTTTTATGCTCTTTCTAACGAGGTGTCGATTGTTTTCTATGACTTATAGTTTTTGCTGTACATAAAAGCTACCTGTGTCGAGCTACCGGTGCTCTAATCCACTGGTCTCTTCGGGAGAATACATGAAAGCAAAAACCACAGTTGAGGTTCAAAAATATTTTTGATACCAATATTGGTTATTGGAATATTGATTTTTAAGCTTCAAAATTTACCTCGCAAAACTTTCTGGAAAACCTAATATTTACTATACAAATTATATTGAACAAACCTGATCAATAAATAAATAGATTTAGGAAATAAATGTACTTGTATCAATGTAAACACATTTAATGAATTTTGTTTAACAAAATATGGAGGGTTCGTGATTAAAATAAATATATTGCTAATCAAAGTAGAAATGATTACGTGTAGATGAAATAGTTATAAACTTAATTACCGTTATATACGATAATATTGCACCCTAACTAGTTTATGAAAGTTCACACCGGTATCAGTGAATACAATAAAGTTATTGTTTATTGAGATATTTTATGGCCTATAAGTTATAGCATTGAAAATTTAATTTGACTAAAAAGTGTCAATTAATATGTAATATTTGCGCTGAATATCATGTAAATTAAAATCATTACTTAAATAACTTTCAAAAGTTTTCCTATCATACAAAACTAGTGCATATTATTCACCTTTTTTGCAAACAAATAGCCAATAAATGATTCATACTTTGCTAAACACTTACATTTAAAGTAAAGGAGGATGCATATCCCTTAACCAACATATTTGTCGTATAGTTGGTCTGTTATTACAACGGATATTATTAACAATTCTTATAGAACTTTGGACGAGGAGTCCGAATATGTAATTTATATTGTCCTATGACCTCGGGTTCGGCCGCAGTGACCACTTTTATCGGGAAAATTTTTATAATAAATATGCCCATGTGATATATCAATTCAATAGAGATTTTAACAGAGAATACGATGGTGTATGTAAAAATTCTATAAACTCTAGGAATACTGCAAATAATGTCGAATTTGTTACAAAAAATGTAATAAATCGATTTTTCTTTTAAATATTTTAAACCCCCATCCCCAATCTGACCTCCTCCACCAAAACTCACACAGCCTCCTACCCGACCTCTTCCACACCAAAAACAACCCCAGAAATTGTTAATAAATTATTATTATTCTTACAATAATGTCAATTTTACAAAAAAACGCCATTTAGATAAAATTTTGTAAAATTTAGCATTATTCTTTAATTTTATTAAATAAATAATAATTTAGTTGAATTCCCCATATTCGAATTAGTCAGAAAAATATTTTCATATTTTAAAATCTAAGATTTAAGAAAATAAAGCACCTATTTTAACTTTTTAAAATCCCCCTAGCGGCTAAACCCTACGATGAATGTTGCTAATTTTTATATATACTATATATTTTAATGTCCTCTACAAGATTAGCTAATAAAATTGACCGGGCGAGCTGGTTAATTAACCCATAGACACGGAGGCATCCTCCTTTAAAAACTCATTTAAAAAGACGTCTTTTTCTCTTATAATAACAAAACACTTTCAAAATGAATGACACGTTTAGAGAGAAAATTAAATTCCAGAAAATTATATTATAATATCGGGCGTCCCATCGTATCAGTACGACTTGTAAATTAAATTAAAAATATTTACAATTATATTTTACTAACAAAAACTATACTAAAATGTTGGAAATTTATTAAAATTT